TTCCTTCTCTCTGCTCTCAGATCCATAGAATTCTCATCACTGGATGAACCACTTCGGTTTACTATCCTCCTCAACATTCCTTATTATCATCTTATTATAAATTCTGAAGTCATCATTTATATTAGTATCAGATACTTTTTATCTCCCCTTAGAAGACCCATAAAGGTGTACACCAGGTGCACTCTTACCATTTTAGCTAGCGATCTACAGCAGTCAGTGCCTGCCTCTTTTCCCTTAGCCACCTCTGCCTTGCAGGACAGCTACTACATATGTCAATGGCTTCCACCTTATGAAAATGTATTTCTACCTGAGAGCTTTCTCTGGCTGCAGGAGTGTGATCAGCTTATGCCCAGGACAGTGTGGAAGTGCCAAGAAGCTAATGCTCCAAAGTAGGGATTTAGTGGATTATGTGCTAGCTTCCATCAGAGAATGAGGTAAGAGCTCCATTTCACATATAAGAGTGACTGATGGCCCCTTGATCATTGTATCCTTTCCACGTGGACAAACTGGAGTTTTAGATAAGAAGTTTAGATAAGATGTCTGTAAATTATATGCCTGTAGTTTTTGACATTGATTACTAAGGGGAACTAGCAGTGCTGTTACATAACGGAAATACAAGAGTGTGTCTGTGAGACAAGATATTTGCTTGAGTCTCATGAGGTCTCTATGCCCAGGGATAACAGTGAACGGAAAGTCACAGCAGCCAGGGCCTGACAAGGGCATGGTAACCTAGAGCTCAGTCCTTTCTGTTACATCTTACATCCAAGATCTACATCAGCCCACTAGTTAAGCAATCTAGACAATGAGAAATGCTAGGTAAATATGAAGAAATTCTAAAATGAGTGGTAGGTGAAAGATAATGGATATTAGTTATGTTCTTAGAATAGACTGTATCAGTTTAAACTCTAGTTTTACAAACTCTTCTGTGACAGATCTTATTTTCTTAGGAATCATGTCCATTCATTACCTTGAAGAATCAGCAAAGGGATAAGTGGATTTAATGCACTCATGAGGTCTAAATGGTGCAAGGCATAGACTGCAGGATGCATCCAATATGT